CTAGATTATTATTATTATTCTCAAGCCATCAACATAATTATAATATTATAATAAATATATGTTGATGGATTCATTATTATTCTGTTGAAGACTTATTATTATTGTTGTTGTTGTTGTTTATGATGGCGCTAGTCCTCTTTGTGCACTGCTTCTCCTCCTATTAATGTTTCTGCCTAAAAGAAGAGATGCAAATGAAAAAGCTCCAAACCTTCCTTCCTTCCTTCCTTCCTTCCTTCCTTCCTTCCTCTTTCTACATTTCCCTTCCTTCCTTCCTTCCTTCCTTCCTTCCTTCCTTCCTTCCTTCTTCCTTCCTTCCTTCCTTCCTTTCTTCCTTCCTTCCTTCCTTCCTTCCTCTTTCTACATTTCCCTTCCTTCCTTCCTTCCTTCCTTCCTTCCTTCCTTCCTTCCTTCCTCTTCTTTTCCTTCCTTCCTTCCTCTTTCTACATTTCTTCCTTCCTTCCTTCCTTCCTCTTTCTACATTTCCCTTCCTTCCTTCCTTTTTCTTCCCTTTCCTTCCTTCCTTCTCTTCCTTCCTTCCTTCCTTCTTCTTCCTTCCTTCCTTCCTTCCTTCCTTCCTTCCTTTTCCTTTTTCTCCTTCCTTCCTTCCTTCCTTCCTTCCTTCCTTCCTTTCCTTCCTTCCTTCCTTCCTTCCTTCCTTCCTTCCTAAAATAAATGTCAAGATCCCTCTTTGGGAGGAAAATAATAAATATTTCCCAAAAGAAGGCAAAACGGGTTGAAACTGCATTCAGTGCTCAGTGCAGACTCCTTCATCCTCTCCGGTGGAGGCTGGAGGGGATTCTTGGATCTCCAGAATGCAGGGCGTGCAGCGCGGGTGGCGGGGAAGGGGGCAACTGCAGAAACACACGTGTCGGCGGACACGTGTCAAGCATCTCGTGGGAACGCGCCTCATGGGGGGGTCGACTTAAAATTCTTTTTATCCTCCACCCTCCCGCATTTAACCCGCGTTTATGGGCGCGGGTTAAATTAAGCTGATGCCTGACACGCGTGTTTTCTGCACCTGGAACGTGGGAACCGGGACATAATACGAACTCATTGCCTCCCAAAGAAATAAATGTCTCGCTTGTAGTTTTTTAATGGGGAAGGGTTGCAATTGCATTGCGCTGCATTGCAAAATCCACTTTCCCATTAAACAAAACCCTTTCCCATTAAACAAAATGCAACTGCAAAATGCAATGCAACTGAAAATGCAATGCAATTGCAAACCTTTCCCATTAAGCAAAATGCAGTGCAATGCAACTGAAAAATGCAATGCAACTGCAAAATGCAATGCAATTGCAACCCTTTCCCATTAAAACAAAATGCAATGCAATGCAATTGTAAAAATGCAATGCAATTGCAAAAATACAATGCAACTGCAAAATGCAATGCAATTGCAACCCTTTCCCATTAAAACAAAATGCAATGCAGTTGCAAAATGCAATGCAACTGCAAAATGCAATGCAATTGCAACCCTTTCCCATTAAACAAAATACAATGCAACTGAAAATGAAATGCAATTGCAACCCTTTCCCGTTAAAAAAACAACATGCAATGCAATTGCAAGGGGGATCAGCCAGCCTTTGCCTGTTGTTGTTCTTCTTGTTGTTGTTGCATCCAAAGCAATGCTAATACTGTCCCCAGAAGCCCCTTCCCCTTTTCTAAGCCATGCAAAGGGCTCCCTTTTGTGGCTCCAATCCGCATTATGTTTATGCCTCTTGAAAGAAACAAACCCTTTTTGTCCCGCTTTGGTCCCGGGATTGGGACTCACCTGGAATCCTCATCCTTCTCTTCCCCCTTTCAATAATCACCCCCAATTAATCGAAAATGCAGGAGAGACTGCCCTAGACCCAGAGCTAATAGTCTCATTTAGGAAGAAGGAAGGGGACAGGATGCCAAACACACTGATCATATTAGTAATAATAATAATAATAATAATAATAATAATAATAATAATAATAATAACAACAACAGTAATAGTAATAATAATAATATACTAATAATTATTAGTATATTATTATTATTATTACTATTACTATTATAATAATAGGAAGGACAGAATGTAAATCACACTAATAATATTCATAATAATATTATATCAATATTTTATTATATAATAATGACAGAATGTAAATCACACTAATAATATTATCCATAATGATAATAATAATATAATATTAATATTTCATTATTCTATCATTTTATAATACTACTAAAATAATAATTGGAAGGACAGAATGTAAATCATACCAATAATATTAATCATAATAATATTATCAATATTATATTATTATATAATACTACTCAAATAATAATTGGAAAGACAGAATGTAAATCACACTAATAATATTAATCATAATAATATAATATAAATATTTCATTATTACATCATATTATAATACTACTAAAATAATAATTGGAAGGGCAGAATGTAAATTACACTAATAATATTATTCACAATAATATTGAGATACAGCGGTATATAAACAAAGTAAATAAATAAATAAATAATATTTCATTATTATTATATAATATTATAATTCTACTACTAATAATAATCGGAAGGACAGGATGTAAATCACACTAATAATATTATTCATAATTATATTATAATATCCATATTTCATTATTATTATATAATATTATAATACTAATAATAATAATCGGAAGCACAGGATGTAAATCACACTAATAATATTATTCATAATTATATTATCAATATTATATTATTATATAATATAATACTACTCAAATAATAATTGGAAAGACAAAAGGTAAATCACACTAATTCTATTATTTGTAATTATATCATAATATCCATATTTCATTATTATTATATAATATTATACTAATAATAATTGGAAGATCAGGAGGTAAATAATTATAATGATACCTATAATAAAGCCACGTACTAGTATTCCCATTATTATTATTAATAATAATCCATTATTATTATTATTATTAATAGTAATAATAATAATAATAATTAGAAGGACCGATTGTGAATATTATAATTATTATTAATAATAATTAGAGGGTCCAATTGTGAATAATGTCAGTAATATCTATCATATGAGTATGATATATGATTTGTAAGAATAATATTTGTAATAGCAATAATAATAATAATAATAGTAATAATAATAATAATAATATACTATCAGTACTGCTAAGATTGATAATTGGAAGGACGGAAAAAATATTTATGGTAATAATTTAATGTATTACTACTACGGTTAAGGATGGGAAGGGCAGAATGCAAATAAATAAGTAATGGTAACAATGTACTACTAATAATTGTGATGGCAGAATAAGAATACATTATTATTATTATTATTATTATTATTATTATTATTATTATTATTATTGTGGGGGCAGAATGCAAATAATAATATAATGTACTACTACTCGTAATAATTGTGAGGGCAGAATGCAAATAAATATAACATACTACATAAATATAACATACATAACATAAATAAATATAACATACTACTAATACTAATTGTGAAGGCTGAATGGAAATATTAATATCATGTATACTATTAATCATAATAATAATTGCGAGGGCAGAATGCTAATTATAATAATATAATGTACTAGTAATAATATTTATTACAAGGACAGAATGCAAATAAATATAATGTACTACTACTAATACTAATAATAACATAACGGTGAGGGCAGAATGCAAATAATAATAATAATAATAATAATAATAATAATAATAATAATAATAATAATAATATAACCTACTACTACTAATAAATGTGATGGCAGAATGCAAATAAAATTATATAATGTACTAATAATAATAATAATGGTGAGGGCAGAATGCAAATGATAATAATAATAATAATAATAATAATAATAATAATAATAATAATAATAATAATATCAGTAATAATTATTATCATTGGGATGGCAGAGTGCAAATAATAATACTATAACAGAAAAATAATATTCATTGCGGGGGAAGAATGCTAATAATGTTAATAATATAATGTACTACTACTACTTATTATTAATATTATTATTATTGGGATGGCAGAATGCACATAATAATAATATAACATAATAATATTCATTGTGGAGGTGGAATGCAAATAATAATATTAATATTATCATATACTACTAATAATAACAATAATAATGGGATGGCGGAATGCAACTAATAATAATAATAATAATGGGGAGGGCAGAATGCAAATATTAATAATATAATGTACTACTACTTATTCTTATTATTAATATTATTATTGGGATGGCAGAATGCACATAATAACAATATAACATAATAATATTCATTGTGGAGGCAGAATGCAAATAATAATATTAATATCGTATACTAATAATAATAACAATAATAATTGGGATGGCAGAATGCAAATATTAATAATATAATGTACTACTTATTATTAATATTAATATTAAGATGGCAGCATGCAAATAATAATATTAATATCATATACTAATAATAATAACAATAATGATTGGGATGGCAGAATGCAAATATTAATAATATAATGTACTACTTATTATTAATATTAATATTAAGATGGCAGCATGCAAATAATAATATTAATATCATATACTAATAATAATAACAATAATGATTGGGATGGCAGAATGCAAATATTAATAATATAATGTACTACTTATTATTAATATTAAGATGGCAGCATGCAAATAATAATATTAATATCATATACTAATAATAATAACAATAATAATTGGGATGGCAGAATGCAAATAGTAATATAATAATAATAATAATAAATAATAATAATGGCAATAATAATAATAATGGGGAGGGCAGAATGCAAATATTAATAATATAATGTAATAATAATAATGATAATAATAATAACTGGGATGGCAGAATGCAAACAGTAACAATATAATGTACTAATGATAATGTTAATGGTGAGGGCAGAGGTGAGAAAAGCGGTATTTAAATACTGTAAATAAATAAATAAATAAATACTAATAGTAATCAATACCTGAAATAGTCGACTTTGCAGAAGATCTCCTTGTTCTTGACGTAGCAGCTGCTCTGCTGCCGGAGGGAAGCCCGGCACACCGAGCAGGCCAGGCAGCCCAGGTGCCAAGGAAGGTTGTTCACCTGGAAAGAAGGAAAGAAGGAAAGAAAGAAAGAGCGAAAGAAAGAGAGAGAGGAAGGAAAGTGTCAGGCCGGGGAAGGCGGCAACCTTCCTTCTTTCCCCTTGGCTTTGCTTGCTTCCCTTCTCTCTCTTCCCAGCTTTCTCTTCCTCCTTTCCCTTTCCCACTTTCTTTGCTCTTCCCCTTCTCTCTTTCCATTTGTCCCATCTACTTCCCCTCTTTTCTTCCTTCCACTCTTTCTCTCCCCGACTTTCCCTTTCCCCTCTTTTCCTCTTTCCCTTTCATTTAATCCTGTCTCCTTCCTTCCTTCCTCCCTTTCTCTTCCCAACTTTCATTTAGCCTCTTTCCTCTTGATTTCCCTTCTTTTCCTTTCCATTGGTCCTTTCTTTTTTTCTTTCTTTCTTTCTTTCTTTCTTTCTTTCTTTCTTTCTTTCTTTCTTTCTTTCCGCTTTTCCTCTTTTTCTTCTTCTTTGCATTTTCAATTCCTCCCTTTTCTTTTCTTGTCTTCCTCTTTCTTTCTTTCTTTCTTTCTTTCTTTCTTTCTTTCCTTCTTTCCCCTTTCTCCCTTTACAAGCTTTACCTCTTTTTCTTCTTCTTTGCATTTTCCATTCCTCCCTTTTCTTTTCTTGTGTTCCTTTCTTCCCTTTTCTTTCTTTCTTTCTTTCTTTCTTTCTTTCTTTCTTTCTTTCTTTCTTTCTTTCTTTCCTTCTTTCCCCTTTCTCCCTTCATAAGCTTTATCTCTTTCCTTCTCTCCTTCCTTCCTTTTCTTCCTTTTCTTTTCTCCCTTTCTTCCTTCCTTCCCTTCCTTCCTTCCTTCCTTCCTTCCTTCCTTCCTTCCTTCTCTCCTTCCCTCTCTTATTTCCTTCCTTCCTCCTTCCTTCCTTCCTTCCTTCCTTCCTTCCTTCCTTCCTTCCTCTTCTCTTTTTCCCCTTCTCTCCCCCATCTTTTCTTTCCCTCTTTCTCTTCTTTCTTTCTCTCCTTCCTTACCTCCCTCTTCCTTCCTTCCTTTCCCTTCCCGACTTTTCCTTCCCCTCTTTCCCTTCCCTTCTGTCTCTCTCCACTTATCCACACTTCTTTCCCCTTTGCCTGCTTTCTTTCTCTCTCTCTCTCTCTCTCTCCCCCTTCTCTTACTACTATTCCCTTTCCATTTTTCCTTCTCTCCTTTCTCTTCCTATCTTTCTCTTTATAACATCCTTCCTTCCTTTAGCTCCTTCCTTCCTTTTTCTCTTTCCTCTTACTACCCTCCCTTTCCCTCCCTCTTCTTTTCCTTCCTTCTCTTCTCTTCCTTCCCCTTCCCCTTCCTTCCTTCATTCCTTCCTTCTTCTTTCTTCCCTTCCCCTTTCCTTCCTCTTTTCCTTCTCTTCTCTTCCTTCCCTCCCTTCTTCTTTTTTCTCCTCTTTCCTTCTTCTTTCCTTTTTCTTTCTTTCTCTCCTCCTTTCTCCCCTTCTTTTCTCTTCTCCTCCCTCCCTTTCTCCTTCTTTCTTCCTCCTTTCTTCATTCCTTTCTCCCTTTCCTTTCTTATCCTTCCTTCTTCTTTCTTTCTTCCTTCTCCTTTCCCTTCCTTCTCTTTCTACATTTCCCTTCCTACCTTCCCTTTCTTTCTTTCTCCCTTTCCTTTTCTTTCTACATTTCCCTTCCTACCTTCCCCTTCCTTCTTTCTTTCCTTCTTTCTTCCTTCCATCTTCCTTTCCTTCTTTCCTTCCTTCCTTCTTCTTTCTCCCCTTCTCTTTCTACCTTTCCTTTTCTACCTTCCCCTTCTTTCCATCTTTCCTTCCTTGCTTGCTTCTTTTCTTCCCTTCCTTCTTTCTTTCTTCCATCTTCCTTTCCTTCTTTCCTTCCTTCTTCTTTCTCCCCTTCTCTTTCTCCCTTTCCTTTTCTACCTTTCTGCTTCCTTCCCTCCCTTCCTCCCTTCCTTCTTTCCTCACCTTGAGCAGGTACCTGTCCAGGATCTCCCTTCCGCAACTGGCGCAGAGCTGCTGTTTGGGGGTGGGCAGTGGCGGCGGAAGGGTCTCCCTCGAGGAGGAAGAGGAAGCGGAAGAGGAAGCGGAAGCTCCGGAGGGGGGCCCAGGGGAAGTGGGGGCGGCAGGGGCGGAGGGGGGCGGCGAGGGGGAGGCCGGGCTGCTGGCCGCCGAGGGGGGCTCCTCTTCCTCCTCCAGGACCCCCCGGTGTGCCTAAAGAAGAAGGGAGGAAGGAAGGAAGGAAAGAAAGAGAAAGAGAGAAAGAAAGAGAGAGAGAGAAAGTCAAGGGGGGAACAGGACCCCAACATAGGACCCCCACCACCCCTTTCCAGCCCCTCCAAAGCTCACCATCAGGGAAGCGGGGAGAGAAGAGGGTCCTTTGACTGAGAATGAGGTAGAGAGAAAGAAGAAGAGGAGGAGGAGAAAAAGGTAGAATGGGAGAAAGAAAGAGAGGGGGAGGGCTCTTTTGGGGAGGGATGCGCAAATGGAGAGCTGTCAATCACCTTCATCCCTCCCTCCCCCCCCCAATAAAATGACCCATTAACTCATCCTCCTGTTTTTATTGATAGAGAGAAAGAGAGGAAGAGAAGAGGAGGAGGGGAGGAGAAAAGAAGAAGAGAGAAGGAAGGGAAGAGAGAGGGAGGAGAAAGGGAAGGAAGGGAGAGGGAAGAGAAAGAAAGTAAGAGAAGGGGAGAAGAAGGAAGGGAGGGAGGGATGAAGGAGGGGAAGGAAGGAAAGGAGAAGGAGAGGGAAGGAGGAAGGAAGGAAGGAAGGAAGGAAGGTAGGAAAGGAAGGAAGGAAGGAAGGAAGGAAAGAGGGAAAGAAGGAAAGGAAGGAGAGAAAGAAGGAAGGAGGAAGAAGGAAAGGGAAAGAAGAGGAGAGAAGAGAAGGAAGGAAGAGAGGAGGAGGAAGGAGGAAGGAAGGAAGAGGAAGGAAGGAAGGAAGGAAGGAAGGAAGAAGGGGAAGGAGGAAAGGAAGGAGGAGAGAAAGAAGGAAGGAAGCAAAGAGGGAAAGAAAGAAAAAGAAAAAAAGAAAAGAAAGAAAGAAAGAAAGAAAGAAAGAAAGAAAGAAAGAAAGAAAGACTAAAGGCAGGCAAAGGAAAAAGTGCACAAGTGGATAGCGAGAGAAGGGAAGGGAACGAGGGAAAGGAAAAGTCAGGAAGGGAGAGGAAGAGGGAAGAAAGCAAGGGAAGGTAGAAAGGAAAAGGGAAGAAGGAAAGGGAGAGGGAAAGACAGAAAGCTAGTAAGAGAAGGGGAGAAGGAAGGAAGGAAGGAAGGAAGGAAGGAAGGAAGGAAGGAAGGAAGGAAGGAAGGAAGGAAGGAAGGAAAAGAAAGGGAGAAAGAGGAAGAAAGGGAAAAGAAAAGGAAAGGGAATGGAGAAGGGAGGGGAAAGAGGGAAAGGAAAAGTCGGGAAGGGAAAGGAAGAAAGAGAAAGAAAGAGGGAGGGAAGGAAGGAAAAAGTAGAAAAGGAAAAATAGAAAAAGAGGAGAAGAAGAAAAGGGAAGGGAAAGAGGGAAAGGAAAAGTTGGGGAGGGAAAGGAAGAAAGAAAGAGAAAGAAAGAAAGAAAGAAAGAAAGAAAGAAAGAAAGAAAGAAAGAAAGAGGGAAGGAGGAAAGGAAGGGAAAGGTAGAAAGGGAAAATATAAAAAAGGAGAAGGAGAAAAGGGGAAGGGAAGAGGGAAAGATGGAGTGGGTAAGTTAGTAAGCGAAGGAGAGAAAGAAAGATTGAAAACAGGCTAAGGGAAAAAAAGAGCGGACAAATGAATAGCGACAGAAGGGAAGGGAAAGGGGAAGGAAAAGTCGGGAAGGGTGAGGAAGAGGGAAGGAAGGAAGGGTAGAAAGAGAAAAGGAAGATAGGAGGAAAGTGAAGGTGAGAGGGGAAGATGAAGTAGGTAAGTTAATAAGCGAAGGGGAGAAAGAAAGAAAGAAAAGAAAGAAAGGAGGAAAGAAAGAAGGAGGGAAGGAGAGAAGGAAGGAAAGACTGAAAGTAGGCAAAGTGAAAAGAAGAGTGGACAAATGAATAGCGACAGAAAGAAAGGGAAAGGGGGGAAAGGAAAGTCGGGAAAGGAAGAAAGAGAAAGAAAGGAAGGAAGGGAAGGAAGGAAAGATAGAAAGGAAAGGGTAGAAAGAGAAAGGGAAGATGGGGAAAAAGGGGAGAGGGGAAGTTGGTAAGTTAGTAAGAAAAGGAAAGAAAGAAAGGGAAAGAAAGAAAGAAATAAGAAAGCAAGCAAGCAAAGGAGGGGAAAAGACTAGACAAAAAGAGGAAGAGGAGAAAAAAGGCAGAATGAGAGAAAGGAAGAAGGGAAGGAAGGAAGGAAGAGAAAGAAAGCAAGAAAGCAAAGGAGGGAAAAGGCTAGATAAAAAGAAGAAGAGGAGAAAAAGGTAGAATGAGGGGAAGGAAGGAAGGGAAGAAAGGAAGAGAAAGAAAGGAAAGGAAAGGAGGGGAAAAGAATAGACAAAAAGAGGAAGAGGAGAAAAAGGCAGAATGAGAGAAAGGAAGGAAGGGAAGAAAGGAAGGAAGGAAGGAAGGAAGGAAGAGAAAGAAAGCAAGAAAGCAAAGGAGGGAAAAGGCTAGATAAAAAGAGGAAGAGGAGAAAAAGGTAGAATGAGGGGAAGGAAGGAAGGGAAGAAAGGAAGAGAAAGAAAGGAAAGGAGGGGAAAAGAATAGACAAAAAGAGGAAGAGGAGAAAAAGGCAGAATGAGAGAAAGGAAGGAAGGAAAGAAAGCAAAGGGGGGGAGACAAAAAGAGGAAGAGGAGAAAAAGGAGGAAGGAAGGAAGGAAGGGAAGAAAGAAAGAAAGAAAGAAAGAAAGAAAAAAGAAAGAAAGAAAGAAAGCAAAGGGGGGAAAGACAAAAAGAGGAAGAGGAGAAAAAGGTAGAATGAGAGGAAGGAAGGGAAGAAAGAAAGCAAAGGGGGAAAGACTAGACAAAACGAGGAAGAGGAGAAAAAAGGTAGAATGAGAGAAAGGAAAGAAAGAAAGTGGAAGAAAGAAAAAAAAGGAAAGAAGGAAGTAGGGCTCTTTTGGGGAAGGAAGCACCTGCAAACAGGGAGCTGTCAATCACTTCCATCACTCCCCCCCCTCCCCAATTAACTCCCCCTCCTCTATAGGAACATAATAAAAAAATATGGAAATATTAAACATTATAATCCCCCTCCCCTAAAAAAAAAGTTCCCCCAAAGTCCATTTTGGAGAGGGGACCCTTGGCTTCATCCCCCCCCCCTTCCATCATCATGATTTCTGATTTTTGGGGGGGGGGGTCTCCTCTGCTGCCCCCTCCCTTGCCTTGCCTTGCCCTGCCTGTTCTCACCTCGGTCCGCGGCTGCTCACCCTCGGGCGGGGGGGCGGAGGAGGGGGCCTCATTCTTCCAGAACATTGAGGGAGGGGGGAAAGGAAGGAAGGAAGGAAGGAAAGGAGGAGAAGGAAGGGAAGAAGGAAGGAAGGAAGGAAGGAGCGCCCCTCCGCTGCCAAGGACGCCCGGCGAGGACTCGCTTGGAGAGGACGCGAAGGAGGACTTTAAAGGCGCCCCCGCCCCTCCCTCCCTCCCTCCCCCAGGACCCTCCCTCCCTTTCCCACTTTCTCTTCTCTCCTTCTCTTCATTCCTTCCTTCTCTTTCTTTCTCTTCCCCCTCCCTTGCCCTTTTCCCCTTTCCTCCTTCCCCTCCTCCTCTTCTTTTCCTCTTCCTTCCCTTTTTCCTTCCTCTTCTCTTTTTTCTTCTGCCTTCTTTCCCACTTTTTCCTCTTCTTCCTTTCCTTCCTTCCTTCCCTCCCTCCATTCTTTCTTTCCTTCCCTCCCCTTCCTATTTCTCCATCTTTTCCTTATCCTTTCTTCTTTTTTTCTGTCGCTATCCCTCCTTCTATTCTTTCCTCCTTATTATTTCCCTTTTTCTCCTTTCCCTCTTTCCTTTTCTTTTCTTTCCCTTCTTCCTCTATCCGCCCCTGTTCCTCCTTTTCTTTTCCCCTTTTTCCTCCCTGCCCTCCTTCTTTCCCCTTCCTACTTTCCTTTCTCCTTCCTTCCTTCCCTCCCTTTTTTCTCCTGCCCTCCTTCCCACTTTTTCCTCTTCCTCCTTTCCTTCCTTCCCTCCATTCCTTTTTTCCTTCCCTCCCCTTCCTATTCCTCCATCTTTTCCTTACTACTTTCCTTTTCCTTTCTTCTTTTTTTTCTGTCACTATCCCTCCCCTTCCATTCTTTCCTCCCTTCTTCTTCTTCCCCTTTTTTCTCCTTTCCCTCTTTCTTTTTCTTTCTTTCCCTTCCCTTCTTCCTCTATCCTCCCTGTTCCTCTTTTTCTTTTCCCCCTTTTCCTCCCTGCCCTCCTTCTTTCCCCTTCCTTTCCTTTCTCCTTCCTTCCTTCCCCTTTTTTTCTCCTGCCTTCCTTCCAACTTTTTCCTCTTCCTCCTTCCTTTTTCTCCCTCCCTCCATTCTTTCTTTCCTTCCCTCCCCTTTTCCTCCTTCCCTTCCTATTCCTCCATCTTTTCCTTACTACTTTCCTTTTCCTTTCTTCTTCCTTCCCCTTTTTCTTCTTTCTCCTGCCTTCCTTCCTATTTTCCTCTTCTTCCATCCTTCTTTCCTTTCTTACTTTCCTTCCCTAACGCATTCTTTCTAATTCACTAAATTTTACCTAATTAAACTCTATTAATCACATCCTTTTCTACTAAATTTCCTTTTAATTTCTTATTCATTCAACTTTTTTCTTCTTTCGTCTGCCTTCCTTCATATTTTTACCTTCTTCAATACTCTTTCAATTTCTTGACCTTTACTTAATTATTTACCAGAATCAATATAAGCATACCTAACTTTCATTACTCCTTACTCTTTTCCTTCGTCATTCCTGACTAATATCCTCCGTCCTCCTTTCTTCTTTTCTCCACTCTTTTATAAATCACATATATACATACTGTTTTCTCCTTACCACATTTTTTCTTATCCTTTACTCTTTCCTTTCTCTTCATCCTTCATTATTAATATATTTAATTTTTAATTTATTATTACAATAGCTATATAAATTTCTTTCATCAAACTCATTGTTCTTGCCTGAGCACATATTCTTAGTTCTTACATCCTCTCCCTTCCATTGCCCTTCCTGTGCTTGGAGCCTTGGCCTCCTTCTCAAGGCACCCACTCAGACTCCTTTTGAGCCCATGGCCTCTCTGGACCCGTCTTCTTACCTGTCCTGGGAGACGGCTTTTGTGCTTCTCTTTCTTTCCTTTATTCTTTTTTCTCACCTTCTCTCACTACCTTTCCATTTCTATCTTCTTCCCTCCTTCCTTCTTCTTTCTCCCCTTCTCTTATTACCTCCCCCTTCCTTTCTTTCCTCCCTTCTTTCTCTTGCTTTATCTTTCTGACGTTCAATTTTCTTTATCTCCTTCCCTTTCTTCTATTCCCCCCCCCCCGTACCTCCTTTTCTTCTTTCCTTTTTCCTCCCTGCCCTCCTCCTTTCTTTTCTCCTTCCTTCCTTCCTTTTTTCTCCTGCCTTCCCACTTTTTCCTTTCTTTTCTTTCCCTCTTCTTCCTTTTTTCTGCCTTTCTTCCCACTTCCTTTTCCTCTTCCTTTCCTCCTATCCCTTTTTCCTTCTTTTTCCACGCCTTCCCATTTCCCTCCCTCCTTAATTCCTTCTTTCCCTCCCTCCTTTCTTCTTTTCCTTCTTCCCTTTTATTCTTCTGCCTTCCCACTTGTCTCCTTCTTCCTTCCTTTCTTCTTTCCATGCTTTTTCCTTTTTTTCACCTGCCTTCCATCCCACTTTCCTTTTCCTCTTCTTCCTTCTTCCCCTCTCTCAATCTCTCCTTCCTTTTCTTCCTTCCTTCCCTTTTCCTTCCTTTTTTCTCTCCCACCTTCCCATTTTCCTTTCCCTCTCCTTAATTCCTTCTTTCCCTCCCTCCTTTCTTCTTTTCTTTCCTTTTTCTCCTGCCTTCCCACTTGTCTCCTTCTTCCTTCCTTTCTTCTTTCCTTGCTTCTTCCTTTTTTTCGACTGCCTTCCTTCCCACTTTCCTTTTCCTCTTCTTCCTTCCTTCTTCCCCTCTCTCAGTCTCTCCTTCCTTCCTTCCTTCCTTCCTTCCTTCCTTCCTTCCTTCCTTCCTTCCCCTCCCTCCCTCCCTCCCTCCCTGCCTTCCTTTCTTCTCTCTTGTCTTCCTTCCAAAGCGCGAGTGCATCTTCTGCATTATACACTGAATGCAGTTTGGGGTGCAAGGCAGTGGATGGACATACACATACTCCAGTCCCATTCTGCCCTAAGGGAAGGCACAATCAAAGCCCTCCCAACAGATGGCCATTCAGCCAAAGATTAATGGCAATAGATTTTACACACACACACACACGATAGCTATATCATAGGACCCAAGAGCTGGAAGGGACCCCAAGGACCACCCAGTCTTTTGGCCATGAGGGAAGGCATGATTAAAGCCTTCCCGACAGATGGCCAGCCAGCCAAAGAGTGATGGCAATAGATTATATTTACACACGCACATATATTTTAGAACCCAAGAGCTGGACGGGACCCCAAGGGCCACCCAGTCCATCCCCTTTTGGCCATAAGGGAAGACATAATCTAAGCCTTCCTGACAGATGGCCAACCAGCCAAAGCTCAATGACAATAGATCACACACACACACATACACATACACATACATGACAGCTATATTACAGAACCCAAGAGCTGGAAGGGACCCCAAGGGCCACCCAGTCTATCCCCCTTTGGCCATAAGGGAAGGCACGATCAAGCCCTCCCGATAGATGGCCAACCAGCCAAAGCTCAATGGCAATAGATTACACACACACACATATACATGATAGCTATATTATGGAACCCAAGAGCTGGAAGGGACCCCAAAGGTCACCCAGTCCAACCCCCTTTGGCCATAAGGAAAGGCACTATCAAAGCCTTCCCGACAGATGGCCAGCCAGCCAAAGATCGATTGCCATAGATTATACACACAAACACACATATATGATAGCTATATCATAGAACCCAAGAGCTCAAAGGGACCCCAAAGGCTATCCAGTCCAACCCCCTTCGGCCCTATGGGAAGGCACAATCAAAGCCCTCCCAACAGATAGCCAGCAAGCCAAAGATCAATGGCAATAGATTACACACACACACGATAGCTATACCATAGAGCCCAATAGCTGAAAGGGATCCCAAGGGCCATCAAGTCCTACCCTCTTCAGCCATAAGGGAAGGCACAATCAAAGCCCTCTGGACAGAGGGCCAGCCAGTCAAAAACAGATGGCAACAGATATGATTGAGAAATATAGATGATAGCTAGCTAGATCTGGTGGTTTGTATACCGTTCCGTAGAATTTAATGCATGTTTGTGATGACGGAACTGTACTAGACGAGACTTTATGAGGCTTCTAGTAATTATTTTATACTGTTTTAATTTATTTACTTTGGTTAGTTATTATAAGTTATACCGGTTTGTGTGTTGACATGAAGGGCATTGAATGTTTGCCACTTGGGGCAGGCCTGGGCCAACTTGGGCCCTCCCTCCAGGTGTTTTGGACTCCAACCCCACCATTCCTAACAGCCTACCGGCTGTTAGGAATGGTGGGAGTTGGAGTCCAAAACACCTGGAGGGAGGGCCCAAGTTGGCCCAGGCCTGCCTTGAGGAGATAGAGTGAGTTATAAATAAAGTATTATTATTATTGTTGTTGTTGTTGTTATTGCTTTGAATGCCTGCACCAAGTTTTATTTATGTACAACTGTGTTTTTTAAAAAAGAGAGAGTCCTGTTTATGTAACGTCCATTTGTCCAAATGTCCATTTCCGGACCCCGAGGCACAGCAGAACTTTCGCCTCTCCTGGGTTTTCCCGGAGGCCAAACGGACCGCGGAGAGAAGGTGTTCCTTGCGACCCAAACCAACTTGAGTTTGCTTTCTCTCGGGGGCGACGCCGGCGTTGTTGCGTTTCCGCCGCCGGAGAGGACTCGCCAATCCTTGACCGACCGAGATGGCCCCGGGATCATCTCTTGGACCTCCAGGAGGCCCCACGGGCCTTGTAAGGGGCGGCCCGCTTCTTGTCCGGGGGCCGGAAGTAGGCGTAGGGGGCCGGGGAGGTCGTCGCACCCGCCGGGGGGAACTCCGCGTCCGGGTTCTCCGCCATCATCTTCAGCTTGGCCTCGATGGCTTTGATCTTCGTGCTCACGCTGCAAAAGGAGAGGAGGAGGAGGGCGTTAAAAGGCACAAACCATAGGGCCCCAGAGCCAGAAGGGTCCAACCCAAGGGCCGGCCACCCAGTCCAACGCCACTCGACCCTAAGGGAAGGCACAATCAAAACCCTCCTGACAGACAGACAGAGATAGATGACAATAGATTTTATATGTGTATACACACACACATAATTATGATAGTCATAGAACACAAAAGCTGGAAGGAACCCCCAAGGGCCACCCAGTCCAACCCCATTCTGCCCACAGGGAAGGCACAATCAAAGCCCTCCCAACAGATGGCCAGCCAGCCAGAGATAGATGGCAATAGATTATACACACACACACACACACGATAGTTATATCACAGAACCCAAGAGCTGGAAAGGACCCCAAGGACTGGCCACCCAGTCCAACCCCATCCTGCCCTAAGGGAAGGCACAATCAAAGCTCTCCTGACATATGGCCAGTCAGCCCAGTCCAACCCCATCCTGCCCTTAGGGAAGGCACAATTAAAGCCCTCCCGACAGACACCCAGCCTGCCAGAGATAGATAGCAATAGGAGATATCACACAACCCAAGAGCTTGAGACCCCAAGGGCTGGCCACCCAGTCCAACCCCATCCTGCCCTAAGAGAGTGCACAATCAAAGCCCTCCTGACAGATGGCCAGCCAGCCAGAGATAGATGGCAATAGATTATACACACACACACACACACGATAGTTATATCACAGAACCCAAGAGCTGGAAAGGACCCCAAGGACTGGCCACCCAGTCCAACCCCATCCTGCCCTAAGGGAAGGCACAATCAAAGCTCTCCTGACATATGGCCAGTCAGCCAGAGATCGAGATGGCAAAAGATTACATACATGCACACACACACACACACACACACACACACACATGTATGATAGCTATATCATAGAACCCAAGAGTTAGATGGGAGGGACCCCAAGGACCAGCCACCCAGTCCAACCCCATCCTACCCTAAGGGAAGGCACAATCAAAGCCCTCCTGACAGATGGCCAGCCAGCCAGAGATAGATGGCAATAGATTATACACACACACACATACATGTACATATGATAGTTATATCACAGAATCCAAGAGCTGGAAGGGACCCCAAGGACCAGCTACCCAGTCCAACCCCATCCTGCCCTTAGGGAAGGCACAATTAAAGCCCTCCTGACAGACGCCCAGCCTGCCTGAGATAGATAGCAATAGGAGATATCACAGAACCCAAGAGCATGAGGAGACCCCAAGGGCTGGCCACCCAGTCCAACCCCATCCTGCCCTAAAGGAAGGCACAATCAAAGCCCTCCTGACAGACGCCCAGCTTGCCAGAGATAGATAGCAATAGGAGATATCATAGAACCTAAGAGCTTGAGGAGACCCCAAGTGCCACCCTGTCCAACTCCATTTTGACCTAAGGGAAGGCACAATCAAAGCCCTCCTGACAGTTGGCCAACCAGCCAGAGATAGATGGCAATAGGAGATATCACAGAACCCAAGGGCTTGAGGAGACCCCAAGGGCCGGCCACGCAGTCCAATCCCATCCTGCCCTAAGGGAAGGCACAATCAAAGCCCTCCTGACAGATGCCCAGCTTGCCAGAGATAAATAGCAATAGAAGATATCATAGAACCTAAGAACTTGAGGAGACCCCAAGTGCCACCCAGTCCAAGCCCATTCTGCCCTAAGGGAAAGCACAATCAAAGCCCTCCTGACAGATGGCCAGCCAGCCAGAGATAGATGGCAATAGATTATACACAAACACACACATGTACATATGATAGTTATATCACAGAATCCAAGAGCTGGAAGGACGCCAAGGACCAGCTTACCCAGTCCACCCCCATTCTGTCCTAAGGGACAATTAAAGCCCTCCCGACAGACACCCAGCCTGCCAGAGATAGATAGCAATAGGAGATATCACAGAACCCAAGAGCTTGAGGACACCCCAAGGGCTGGCCACCCAGTCCAACCCCATCCTGCCCTAAGGGAGTGCACAATCAAAGCCCTCCTGACAGATGGCCAGCCTGCCAGAGATAGATGGCAATAGATTACACACACACACAAACGTACAAATGATAGTTATATCACAGAATCCAAGAGCTGGAAGGGACCCCAAGGACCAGCTACCCAGTCCACCCCCATTCTGCCCTTAGGGAAGGCACAATCAAAGCCCTCCTGACAAACGGCCAGCCTGTCAGAGATATAGAGCAATAGGAGATATCACAGAATCCAAGAGCTTGAGAAGACCCCAAGTACCACCCTGTCCAACCCCATTCTGCCCTAAGGGATGGTGCAATCAAAGCCCTCCTGACAGATGTCCAGCCAGCCAGTGATCGATGGCAATAGATTACACACACACACACACAACCAGCCCGAGTCACCTTCGGGTTGAGAGAGGCAGTAGATAAATGTAGTAAATAAATAAATATGATAGCTATACCATAGAACCCAAGAGCTGGAAGGGAGGGACTCCAAGGGCCAGCCACCCAGTCCAACCCCATTCTACCATAAGAGAAGGCACAATCAAAGCCCTCCTGACAGGTGGTCAGCCAGCCAGATATATAGATGGTAGTAGATTATACACACACACACACACACACACGCACACAGCCTTACCTCAGGTTGGACTGGGCCTGCTCTGTGCTGGACGACGGCTCGAGACTGATGGGAAGGATCTTCTCGTTCTTGTTTGGATCGAATCTCTGGGGGGCCAAAAGAGAGCCTGAGATCAGGGTTCTCTCCCTTTGAAAAGACCCCAGAAAAGAGGAGGAGGGGGCCCTCCCATCTCCTCCCCTCAAAAGGGGAGGAGATGAGACTCACCTTGACCTGGGCGTGGGCCCACCGCACCACCAGCTTCTTGGAGAGCGCCAGCTTGCCGTTGAGGCACTGGATGGCTTGCTCGGCTTCCTGCGCAGGAGGAAAAGGAGCCCCGAAAGGTGTCAGGTGTGGCCCAGCTCCCCCCCCCCGCCCCCACACCCACACCTTAAGAACAATGCCCAGGAAAGGTCACCTGCTTGGTCTCGAAGTTCACAAAGCAGTATCCCCTGGGCTGCCCTTCCAAGGCCCCCGACTTGTGGAACAGGAAGTCAAACTGCTTCACCTTCCCAAATTTCTGGAGGAGCTTCAGCAGGTGGTACCTGGGAAGGAGGAGGAGGAGGAGAGCAAATGAATGAAGGCCTTGGAGAAAGAGAGGGAGAGCAGGAAAGGTAGGCAGGTAGGAAGGAAGGAAAGAGGAGGGGCCAATGGGATGTTGGCCTGCAGCAATAGGAGTCTAGTGTCTAGGTCCAGGGAAGTCATGCTCCCCATGCTCTATTTTGCTTTGGTTAGACCACACCTGGAATACTGTGTCCAATTCTGGGCAACACAATTCAAGAGATATTGACAAGCTGGAATGTGTCCAGAGGAGGGCGACTCAAATGATCCAGGGTCTGGAGAACAAGCCCTATGAGGAGCGGCTTAAGGAGCTGGGCATGTTTAGCCTGAAGAAGAGAAGGCTGAGAGGAGACATGATGAGGGCCATGTATAAATATGTGAGAGGAAGCCACAGGGAGGAGGAGGGAGCAAGCTTGGTTTCTGCTTCCCTGGAACAATGGCTTCAAACTACAAGAAAGTAGATTCCATCTGAACATGAGAACTTCCTGACTGTGAGAGCTGTTCAGCAGTGGAACTCTCTGCCCTGGAGGGAGTGTGGTGGAGGCTCCTTCTTTGGAAGCTTTTAAACAGAGGCTGGATGGCCATCGGTCAGGGGTGATTTGAATGCAATATTCCTGCTTCTTGGCAGAATGGGGATGGCCTGGATGGCCCACCAGGTCTCTTCCAACTCTTTGATTCTATGGAGGTGCACGTTTTCGCACTGCTAAGTTGGCAGAAGCTGGGGCTAACGGTGGGAGCTCACCCCTCTCCAACTTTTCAGTCAGTAAGTCCAGCAGCTCAATGGCTTAACCTACTACACCATCAGTGTTTTTATATTGCTATTTTAAAAAATTATACGATGGAGTGTGCATTTCACCTAGACTTTGGCTTGGAATTGGGCTGCTCTACCAGGTAGGTCGCTCAGTAGTGGGTTTGCAAGATGTGATGCATATATTCAACATCAGGATCCCGGCTTTCTCACAATAGAGCTCTAGTGTAATTCCAACACAGGTATGGGAAGATCATTTCAGATCTATTTTCACATTGCAAAGGGATGCACGGGCTGCATATTATTAAGTTTTATGGCAGTGGCTGCAGGAACGGTGGTTTGCAATTGGGTCCTCGGGCCGTGCTTTGGGCATGCCTGCACAAATGTGTTGCGGCACACACTTTGCAAAGCTCTGCTGCCCAAAGAATGGAGCTGGGTTTACAGCACGGGCTGGATGTTGCATCTTTCTATGTCTGAAAAGGGTTCAGCAAGGCAAGGATGTAAGAACGAGCGCAACAATCCTCAGCCCAGGAGGTAAACAAGGAGCTGATGTTTACATGAAGGCGCTTGTGTGTTTCGGAATGCCATGCGCATGCCTGTGTGTGAAAGTGCGTCCGCCCTGCAAGGGATACCTGGGGGCTGGGGAAGGGGGCCTCCGCCCGGCTTCCTGTCATCCGAGGCGAGAAGCCGGACACCTTGGCCGAGACCCGCTTCCCTTTCCTCCTGGCACCCAGCGCGCTATTCAAAGGCTCCGCCAAGGCTTCCTCTAAACAATTGCCCTCCCAAGGATACGGGAACCGTCTCAAACACATGCAAAAGCCATTACGTCCGGAAATCCAGCCCAACTGGGAATGTCGTGATGGGACAGCCGTTTGCTGAGAAAAAAGGACAATGGGAGCGGCAGAAAGAGGAGAGGCCTTCTGATGCCCTTCAACCAAGAGCAACATGGACTCATTCAGAAGGAGAATGAGCAGAGACACCTCCTTTCAGCCCTCTTTCATAGTGTTGGAAGAAACCCCCTTCTTTCTGCCAGGCAGAAAAAGCCCTCCCAACAGATGGCCATCCAGCCTCTGCTCAAAAGCCCCCTAAGAAGGAGCCTCCACCAGACAATGAAGGAGTGAGCTCTTCTTAACCTTCTTCCTAATGTTCACGAGGAATCCCCTTTCCTGTCAGTCGCACCCATTCCCTTTCCTTTCTCTTTCTTCCTTCTCACCTTTTTCCTTAATATACAATACTACTCCCCGCATTCCTGTTGGGTCTAATTTTCAGAAACAGGTTATACCAGGCATGGGCCAACTTGGGCCCTCCCTCCTGGTGTTTGGGACTCCAGCTCCCACAACATGGGTATGCAGATGATCCCTTGATTGACTGAAGTGTCCACTTCCAAGAGGACCAACTTGGGCTTTCTCTCCAGGTGTTTTGGATTTCACCTCCCACAACGTGGGTATGCAGATGATCTCTTGAATGACTGAAGTGTCCAGTTCCAAGAGGACAAAGGCATGGGCCAACTTCAGCCCTCCGTCCAGGTGTTCTGGACTCCAACTTCCATAACGTGAGTATGCAGATGATCCCTTGATTGAGTGAAGTGTCCAGTTGCAAGAGGACAAAGGCATGGGTCAACTTAGGCCCTCCCTCCAGGTGTTCTGGACTCCAACTCCCAGAATGTGGGTATGCAGATGATCACTTGATGGACTGATGCAGATGATCTCTTGATTGACGGAAGTCTCCAGTTCCAAGATGACCATGGCATGGGCCAATTTGGGCCCTCCCTCCAGGTGTTTTGGACTCCAACTCCCACAACATAGGTACGCAGATGATCTCTTGATTGACTGGAGTGTCCAGTTCCATGATCACAAAGGCATGGACCAACTTGGGTCCTCTCTCCAGGTGTTTTGGACTCCAACCCCCACAATGTGGGCATGCAGATGATCCCTTGAAGTGTCCAGTTCCAAGAGGACCAAGGAATGGGCCAACTTGGGCCCTCCTTCCAGCTGTTTTGGACTTCAACTCCCACAACATTGGTATGCAGAGGATCCCTTGATTGACTGAAGTGCCCAGTCCCAAGAGGATCAACTTGGGCCCTCCCTCCAGGTGTTTTGGACTTCACCTCCCACAACATGGGTATGCAGATGATCTCTTGAGTTCCAAGAAGACAAAGACATCGGCCAACTTGGGCCCTCCCTCCAGGTGTTTTGGACTTCCACCATTCCTAACAGCCTCAGGCTCCTTCCTTTCCCCCCTCAGCTGCTTAAATGGAGAAGGAAAGAAAAAGGGAAAAGGAGGGGACCTGAGGCTGTTAGGAATGGTGGGAGTTGAAGGCCAAAACACCTGGAGGGAGTGCCAAAGTTGGCCGATGCCTGGGTTATCCTCCTCTATTGCTCCCTTCCACTCCTGAGAACCTCCCCACCAGACCTCACGCGGAATAACGACCCTGAGTCCAGTTCTGGGCATCACAACTCAAAAAGAATATTGACTGAATGGAAGATGTCCAGATGAGAGTGACCAAAATGAGGAATGTCTGAGGGAGCTGGGGATGTTTACCTTGGAGAAGAGAAGGGGAGGCAAGAGCCAGGTTTGCCTATTGGAAGGGATGCCACATGAAGGAAGGGGAAAGCTTCTAGGACCATGATGGTGAACCTATGACACGCGTGTCAGCACTGACACACATGGCTATTTTTGATGACACACAGCCACATGCGGCCGCATACAGAGAAGTACTCCTTATAAGAGCCAATCTAATTCCATCTTTAAATTTGTAAAAGGCTCTACAAATCTAATATCTGCATGTCTGAGCATTGTTCACTCCATAACTCAGCGTGGAATATACATTTTTTCTTATTTAAACTATAAATATTGCAAAATTACGTTTATTTTATCTCAAAGTTGACACCCCACCCAAGTTATGGTCAGATTTTGGGCAAATTTTGACACACCAAGCTCAAAAGGTTGCCCATCACTGTTCTAGGACACAAGGGAGCCATGGATTCAAATGGCAGGAAAAGAGATTCCACCTGAACATTAGGGGAAAACATCTTGAGCTGTTCAACAGTGGAACTCACTAATCAAGGTGATCAGCTGAAACATTCACAGCTAGCCCCAACAGACAAAAGTCCTTTGTCTCACCCTGGTCATTCCACAGATATAATAAACCCATTTTTTCCTACTTCCAACAGACCTCACTACCTCTGAGGATGCTTGCCATAGATGCAGGCGAAACGTCAGGAGAAAAATTGCCTCCAGAACATGGTCATATAGCCCGGAAAAACCTACAACAACCCAGTGGAACTCACTGCCTCGGAGTCTGGTGGAGGGTCCTCCTTTGGAGGCCATCTCTCAGGTTTGATTGTGCTTTCCCTGCCTGGCAGAGAAAAGGGGGTTGGACTGGATGTCCCTTGGGGGTCTCTTCTCATTCTCTGATCCTATGTGACTGAGGAGGTCAGACTTCCCGCAAAAGAGGTGACATTGACAGTGGATCCCAAGGCCAATGCACACAACCCTTCCTTCCGAGGGCTACTTCTCAACTTTTCAAAGCCACACAACAGACACTTGTCGAAAGGCGCTTTGGGCCCGTCAGCTGAGCAGCGCTCGCAATTACTTGTGCCGAGGAGGCGCGCTGTATAAACACCGGGCAAAAAATGATAATTAATGCAAAAGCAAAGAGAGGCCAAGCCCGCGAGGGCCTGAATGAGCGGCCTGAAGTGGGCATTACCTTAATGACGGGCCCCACTTAGAGAGGCGCGATTAGGACGCGATTAGGACGCTGCCGCCCGGCTGAAAGGAGCGCCACTCGGAACACAAAAGGCGCCAGGCACTTGCCGAAAAGACAAGGAGCCCGGCAGAAATTGCTTCCACAGCTGAGAGGCTGGCAATATCCGGGCGAGGGAGCCACTTGGGCAGGAGGACGAGGAGGAGGAGGAGGAGGAGGCGCCCATCGGAGGTTGTTTTGTAAAGCCCGGTCCCCAGCGCCACCCCAGCCGGCCCCTGCGCATCTCATCTCCCCGGCTGCAATCAAGCTCTCTTCCCTCGGCGTGGTGTTTAATTGCCCCACTTCACCGCGCTCCCAACGCCTTCCGCACGCAATTGGAAACGCACTCCTCGCACGGAGGCCAAGGGAATGTCAAACGCACGCACTTAACGTTTGCCGCTGCTGCCAGGGATGAGACCGCAGCTGCCGTTGTTATGCATGAGAAAGAACACCGACGGGGACGAGATCTGGGCCAACTGGACCATCGCAAAGCGAGGCGTAGCCAGAACCAAACGAGGATGCGGGAGAGACACCGGAGTAGAACCAAGGGCGAGGTTTGGCTGAGAACTGGGCCCAAAGACAGGGAATGAATCTATCTATCCATTGATAGGTTCTTGTGGGTTTTTTCGGGCTTATAGAGCCATGTTCTAGAGGCATTTCTCCTGACGTTTCGCCTGCATCTATGGCAAGCATCCTCAGAGGTAGTGACTACCTCTGAGGATGCTTGCCATAGATGCAGGCGAAACGTCAGGAGAAATGCCTCTAGAACATGGCTCTATAGCCTGAAAAAACCCACAAGAACCTAGTGATTCCAGCCATGAAAGCCTTCGACAATACATTATCTATTGATACACATAATAATAATAATAGTAATAGTGACAAATGTATGTGTGTGTGTGTGGCAGAGGTGTCCACTTGCACAGCTACAACCCACAGTGACGAAACCCTCCCTCCAAGGACATTTCGGGATACAGCGGGCGCCATGGACATGTCCTCCCCAAACACCATCCTGCCCACCTCCCAAGTGAATACATTCACTTGGGGACAATTTCATCCTATGTATTCTCGAAGGCTTTCATGGCCAGAATCACTGGATTGTTGTAGGTTTTTCCGGGCTATGTGGCCATGCTCTAGAGGCATTCTCTCTTGACGTTTGGCCTGCATCTATGGCAAGCACCCTCAGAGGTTGTGAGATCTGTTGGAACTAGGAAAAAGGGTTTATATATCTGTGGAATAATGACCAGGGTGGGACAAAGGACTCTTGTCTGCTGGAGCTAGGTGTGAATGTTTCAACTGACCACCTTGATTAGCATTTAATGGCTTGGAAGTGCCTGGGGGAATGTTTTGTTGAGAGGTGATTTGATGTGCCTGGTTGTTTCCTCTCTCTTGTTTTGCTGTTGTAATTTTAGAGTTTTTTTAATACTGGTAGCCAGATTTTGTTCATTTTCATGGTTTCTTCCTTTCTGTTGAAATTGTCCATATGCTTGTGGATTTCATCCTAGATTGTATGTGTTTCCTCCACCACGGGCATCCCAGTGTTTCTGATTCTCTCCACCGGTGTGGAATTTGCATTTATTTATTTATTTATTTATTTATTTGCGGCATTTCTATTTATTTATTTCGGGTACTTCTACCCCGCCCTTCTCAACCCCCGAAGGGGGACTCGGGGCGGCTTCCAACCGGCATACGTTGATGCCTACAATTCACACAATAAAACACATAGCAACAATAATTATAACAATTAAAACATTACATTAATATGATAAAAATGCAATAAAAAGCCAGCCTGGTGGCCATTGTTTTGCCAAGTCCGTAATTAATGAATTCATTCCGCTTATCATAGTCCATTTCCAAAGCTTTAGTCATCATTGTCCATTGTCAGTCTACCAGATTACCCAAAGGCCTGATCCCATATCCATGTTTCTAATTTCCTTCTGAAAGAGAGGAGGGATGACGATGATCTAATTTCCCTGGGGAGTGAATTCCACAGGCAAGGAGCCACCACCGAGAAGGCCCTGTCCCTCGTCCCCACCAATCTCGTTTGTGACAAGGGCGGGGTCGAGAACAGGGCCCCTCCAGAAGATCTTAAATTCCAAGGCGGGACGTAGAAGGAGATACGCTCAGACAGGTACACCGCCCTTCTCACCCCGAAGGGGACTCAGAGCGGCTTACAAGTAAAAAGTCAATACGATATATTATATTATTACCATAGCACAATATTAGTATTATATATTACTATATTGTACTATACCATTAGACTGCAATATTATTAGTAATAATAATAATACATTTAATATAAAATATATAATTATAGTATATTAGTATTAGTAGTATATTGTCTGACATTATAATATTATCAATATTATATGCCTATACAATATATTATCCCAGTTATATCCTACCTTGATCACGTCAGCATATATTTAATTTTAACCTATTACATTTGGCCCAGCCATTGGTTTTAAATGTTTATATGTCACTTTTGATTGTTTATTGCTTATTGTTGTTTATGTGATTTATATGATTTGTATTTTATTGATTGTTTTTTGATGTTTTGTTTATTGATGTTTGTTTATTGATGTCTTGTTGGGCTCGGCCTCATGTAAGCCGTACCAAGTCCCCTGGGGAGATGGTAGCAGGGTACAAATAAAGATTATTATTATTATTATTATTATTATTATTATTATTATTATTATATTGCATGACCCCCCTCCCACTGCCCCTCCCTTCACCCTTTCCTATCCTTTTCTATGGCACACAGCAAACAGAGGAATTGATCAGCAACTAAACAAACTAGAGAGGTTTGGGGAAAATTCACCATGATTCATAGTAGTTGTAAGTCCTGGGATGTATAGTTCACCTGCAATCTAAGAGCTGCACTCTGAACTCCACCAAAAATGGACCTGGAACTAACTTGGCACACAGAAGCCCCATGACCAACAAAACATACTGGAGGTCTTTGAAGAGATTCATAGGAGTTGTAGTTCACCTATGTCCAGAGTGCACTATGAACGCAAACAACGATGGATCTGGACCGATATACGCATACCTGATATGACCACATTTGGGAATATCAGGGTTTTGTTTTTGAGGGGAATTGGCCTGGATATTTTGGAGTTGTAGGTACTGGGATTTATAGTTCACCTGCAATCAATGAACACTCTGAACTCCACCAAACATGGATCTGGACCAAACTTGGCACACAGAGCCCCCATGACCAGCAAAATATACTGAAGGTCTTTGAGAGGAAATCACCTTGATTTGGGGGAGTTGTAGTTCACCTACATCCAGAGTGCACGGTGAACTCAAAACACCAATGGATTTGGACCAAACTTTGGACAGACCTGATATGCCGAAATTTGATGACTGGAGAGGTTTGGGGGGAACTGGTCTTCCTTTGCCTCCAGAACATGGCCATGTTGTAGTTCAGCCACAACCAGAGAAATGATGACCTCCACTGATGATGGATCTGGACGACATTTGGCATGCAGAATCCCCATGACTAACTCAACCTACTACACAGGTCTGAGGGGACTGACCCACCATAATGGGAGTTGTAGTTCACCCACAACCAGTGGAACTGTGACCTCCACTGATGATAGCCCTGGACCACACTTGGCACGCAGAACCCCCATGACTAACTCCACCTACTGGAGGGGTTTGAGGGGACTGACTCGCCATAGTGGGAGTTGCAGTTTACCCTGCAGCCGGAGATCACACTGAACCCCTCCCATGATGCATCCAGAGTAAACTTGCCCAACATAAAAAACTTTAAGTACCGAAGAAGTTTCTTGGGGTTAACCTGGCATGATGGGAGTTGTAGTTCACCCACAACATTTTGCATTTTGGACAATTAAAAAGTGACTTTTTCAAATAGCTTGGGCAACACCGGGGACCCAAGGTAGTACTCAATAATAATAATAATAATAATAATAATAATAATAATAATAATAATACTCTGTATTGTCGAAGGCTTTCATGGCTGGAATCACTAGAACCTAATACTCTGTATTGTTTTCCATTGGAAAGCAACTCTTTGGGACAAATCCCAGCACTCACTCTGTAATCTTGGGGTCCAGGTTTCCAATCCAGAGGCGGTGCCCATCCTGCAAGGCCCCTTCGGACAAAATGGCCGCGTTCTCCAGGCGTAGGCTCTGGGTGGGAGGCACAGCCGACGCCATCCGCACCTGGAAAAAGGGAAATATGGTGGGCAAGAAGGTCGCAACAGAGAAAGGGACAGTCCTATCTGTATGGTAACGGAGCCCGATTTGCCCTTTCTCCTTTCTGTCTTATGCTGAGCATAAACACTGATTTTGTCACTACTAGCATGAATTTGGGATGGTAAGCAGGCATGGAAACAGGAGCCATAGAATCCTAGAGGTGGAAGGGATCCTAAGGGCCATCTAGTCCAACCCCATTCTGCCATGCAGGAAAAGCACAATCAAAGCACCCCAAACAGATGGCTGTTTAGCATTTATTTATTTATTTATTTACTGTATTTGTATACCGCCTTTCTCAGCCTATCAGCGACTCAAGGCGGTTTCCAACAAAACAGTATACATAGTATCGAAAACAATTTAAAACATTACAATTACATAAACCACAACAGCAATAAAAACATCATTAGCGTCTCCTTATTGTCAAGCATTGTCCAAGTCCATCGTCCATTTCCTATGTTATTTATCCATATCCGTTACTCTGTTTGTGAATGCTTGCTCAAACAACCACATTTTGACTTGCTTCTGAAACATTAAGAGGGAGGGAGCAGATCTAATCTCTCTAGGGAGGGTGTTCCATAGCCGGGGGGCCACCGCTCAGAAGGCCTTGTCTCTCATCCCCACCAAGCGTACCTGTGATGGGGGCGGAGCTAAGAGCAGAGCCTCTCCGGACGATCTCAAGGTTCTAGATGGTTCATAAGGGGAGATACGTTCGGACAGGTAAGTTGGGCCAGAACTGTTTGGGGCTTTATAGGTTAAAACCAGCACTTTGAATTGAGCCCGGTAGCAAACTGGCAGCCAGTGGAGTTGGCGCAACTGGGGGGTTGTATGATCCCTGAGAGCCGCTCCAGTTAGCAATCTGGCTGCTGTCCGTTGGACCAGTTGAAGCTTCCAGACAGTCTTCAGAGGCAACCCCACATACAGAGCGTTGCAGTAGTCTACACGGGATGTAGTGAGAGTGTGTAATGCCGTGGCTAAGTCAGACTTCCCAAGGTATGGGCGCAGCTGGCACACAAGCTTTAATTGTGCAAATGCTCCCCTGGTCACCGCCGAGATCTGGGCTTCCAGGCTCAGCGATGAGTCCAGGGTCACACCCAAGCTGCGAACCTGCGTCTTCAGGGGGAGTGCGGCCCCGTCCAACACAGGCTGTAACCCTATGCCCTGTTCGGCCTTGCGACTGACCAGGAGGACCTCTGTCTTGTCTGGATTCAGTTTCAATTTGTTTGCCCTCATCCAGATCGTCACAGCGGCCAAGCACCGGTTCAGGACCTGGACAGCCTCCTTAGTAGCAGGTGGAAAGGAGTGAAAGAACCATAAACAACAACAACAGAACCATAAACCCTCGCTTTCTTATTTATTTTTTTTAGAATCCTAGAGTTGGAAGAGAGCCCATGCAGTGCAACCCCCTTCTGCTGCACACGAAGACCCAACCAAAGCCCTCCCAACTGATGGCCATCCAACTTCTGTTTAACAACCTTCAGAGAAGGAAGGGGGCTCTACCAGACTCTCAGGTATCAAACAGCTCCTACTGTCTGGACATTCTTCCTAATGTTCAGATGGAGTCTCCTTTCCTCTAATCTGAACGCAAGCCATGAGGAGAAGCAGGTAAGAAATAAAAGTATTGTCATTGTCATCATCATCATCATCATCATCATCATCATCATCATCATCATCATCCTACCGCTCCATTGTGTCCTAGTCTCCAGGGCAGCAGAACGGAAGCTCAATGGGGCATCCTTTTGAATATGTAAACATGGCTCTCATGTCCCCTCTCTTTGCTCCAAGCTAAACACACTCAGCTCTCTAAATCGTTCTTCATAGGGCTTGGCTTGATTTTGGACACTTTCTAGCTTGGCGGGAGCTGGGGCTAACAGCGGGAGCTCACCCCACTCCCCAGATTCAAACCGCCTACCTTTCGATCAGCAAGTTCAACAGCTCAGTGGTTTATATGCATATAGGTAAAGGTTGTCCCCTGACATTAAGTCCAGTCATGTCTGACTCTGGGGTGTGGTGCTCATCTCCATTTCTAAGCTGAAGAGCCGGCATTGTCTGTAGATACCTCCAAGGTCATGTGGCTAGCATGACTGCATGAAGCGCCGTTACCTTCCCGCCAGAGCTGTACCTATTAATCTACTCATATTTGCATGTTTCCCAACTGCTAGGTTGGCAGGAGCTAGGGCTGACAGTGGAAGCTCATGCCGCGCCCTGGATTTGAACCTGCAACCTTTTGATCAGCAAGCTCAGCAGCTCAGCGCTTTAACCCACCGGGGGCTCCCTTGTATATGCATATAATGTAATTTTTTGTTTGTGAGATTAACATAACTCAAAAACCATTGGGTGAATTGACACCAAATTTGGACACAAGACACCAATCAGGCCAACGAGTGACCACAACTCCTGAAAACACTAGAAAACACAGCAGAAGGGACTTAAAAAGCAAAAAAAAAAACACACACACACACTCCAAGGCATGTGCATAACCACAAAATTACACATGTACACAAATATACATACACAAATATACAAATATATTCACACTCAAAACACATATACACAGACTGGGCCACAGCAACGTGTGGCGGGGGACAGCTAGTTATAAATATATGTATAAACAATATATTATATTACATTATATATAGAATACACTACCAGCATATTACTAGTAGTTGTACCCGCCACACGGTGCTGTGGCTAATCTTCCCTCTCTCTTTCTCTCCTCTCTCTTTCCCTTTCTCTTCTTCCTCCTTCCTTCTCTACCTGTGTCTTTCCTCTCTTCCTTTGCTCTTTGGTTCCATCCTTCCCTCTCTCATTCCTTCCTTATTTCACTTTTTTATTTCCTTTCTTTCTTTTTCTCCTTCCCTCCTTCCTTATCCCTTTCTGTGTATATGTGTATTGTATGTGTGGCTGCCATTCATTTTCTGGTCCCAATTCAAGGTGCAGGTTCTTACCTACAAAGCCCTGAACAGTTTGGGACCTGCCTACCTGCGTGATTGTATCTCTGTGTATTAACCCACACGATCTCTTCGATCATCTGGAGAGGCCCTGCTCGTGCTCCCACCTCCCTCACAGGCGCAATTGGTGGGGATGAGAGAGATGGCCTTTACGGTGGTGGCCCTTTGACCCTGGAACTCGCTCCCTAAGGACATTAGACATGCCCCAACGCTGGCAGTCTTTAGGAGGAGCCTGAAAACGTGGTTGTGCCAGTGTGCCTTCCCAGAATAATGAACCCTTAGCATTGTGCCCCCTAAATGCACTTTACACTGACTTAGGATTGTTTGTACACTTTCACCAACGCCCCCTCTCTCCTATCTTCTTCATGCCTAGCATTATTTTTTTAACTTTAATTACATTTGGCCCAGCCATAGATTTTAAATGTGTGTTGTATTATTGTCATTGTATATTGCTTTTTTGTTTATGAGTTTTATTTTATTGTTTTGTATTACTGTTGCTATTGTTTTTATTGTTGCTCCGTATTGTTCAGAACGCGGCAGCCAGGTTACTCCCAAGAACGCCCATGACATGCCATAGAACACCTTCAGTGCTGCAACATTGACATTGGCTTCCAACTGAGTCCCACTGTGGCCTGTACAAGATGCTAGTTCTGACCTTTAAAACTCTTGACGGCCAGGGTCCATCATACCTTAGGGACTGCCTCTCCTTCTCCCATCATTGGAGGTCGCAACGACCAGCCCAACATGACTTACTCCATAGACCGGGTCCTAGAGAAGGGCGTTTGGAAAGGACCAGGCGCAGGTGGGCTTTCTCCATTTCTGCCCCTCTTACCTTGTGGAATTCCTTGCCGCCCTACATGAGAGCCAGGCGTGACTTCGGGCCTTTTACTCTCACACTTAAGACCTGGCTTTTTACTAGAGCATTCCATCTCTGTTCATTTTTAATTTTTGTATGTATGTATTTTATCTTTTGTAATTTAGCTGTAAATCGCCTGGAGCATTCTCGGATGGAGGGCGATTAATAAGTTATTAAATGATGATGATGATGAGGTTCTTGTAGGTTATTTTGGGCTATAGGGCCATGTTCTAGAGGCATTCTCTCCTGACGTTTCGCCTGCATCCTCAGAGGGAGTGAGGTCCTCACTACCTCTGAGGATGCTTGCCATAGATGCAGGCGAAACATCAGGAGAGAATGCCTCTAGAACATGGCCCTATAGCCCGAAAAAACCTACAAGAACCTAGTGATTCCAGCCATGAAAGCCTTCGACAATACGATGATGATGATTGTTGTATTGTGGGCTCGGCCTCATGTAAGCCGCACCAAGTCCCTTGGGGAGATGGTAGCAGGGTACACATAAAGTATTATTATTATTATTATATATTTGTGTATATATGCACAGTCACGGCTGGTGGGGACGAGGGACAGGGCCTTCTCGATGGTGGCCCCTCGACTTTGGAACTCCCTGCCATTAGAGATCAGAACTGCCCCCTCCCTCATGACGTTCAGGAAACTAACAAAGACCTGGTTGTGGAACGCGGCATTTGACAACTGATTTAATTATTTTCCCACATGAAAGGAGGATGAGGAATGGGATTGTGATGGTATCGGGCGATTTGGCTCTTTTAACTGTGATGATAATATTTTAATGTGTATGGTGCTGATATTTTAATCATGTAATGAAGTGGCATTGTGTTGTTATTGTATATTCTTTGTATGTTAACACATGTTGTGAACCTGTCAGAATCCCTCTTTGAAGGTGAGAGGGTCGGTATATAAAACCTCGAAATAAATAATAAATAAATATGTGTGTTTGTGTATATTCTGTGTATGTGTTCTGTGTGTGTATAGTCTTGTAAGCCGCTCCGAGCCCCAGGGGAGTGGCCGCATAGAAGTTCAAATAATAAATGAATAAAATAAAAAAATAGATAGATAGATAAATGCTTGTGGATTTCAATGGCTTCTCTGTGTAGTCTGAGAAGCCATTTTACTGCTTTGTATTACTGTTGTTGTTGTTTTTGTTGTTGTATTGTGGGCTTGGCCTCATGTAAGCTGCACCGAGACCCTTGGGGAGATGGGAGTGGGGTACAAATAGAGTATTATTATTATTATTATTATTGGGGTCCCCGGTGGCGCAGTGGGTTAAAGCACTGAGCTGCTGAGCTTGCTGATCGAAAGGTCGCAGGTTCGATTCCGGGGAGCGGCGTGAGCTTCCGCTGTCAGCCCTAGCTTCTGCCAACCTAGCAGTTGGGAAACATGCAAATGTGAGTAAATCAATAGGTACTGCTCCGGCGGGAAGGTAACGGCGCTCCATGCAGTCATGCCTATGGCCACATGACCTTGGAGGTGTCTACGGACAATGCTGGCTCTTTGACTTAGAAATGGAGATGAGCACCACTCCCCAGAGTCAGACATGACTGGACTTAATGTCAGGGGACAACCTTTAACCTAGTAGTAGTAGAAGTAGTAGTATTGAGACTGAATGGCCATCTGTCAGGGTGCTTTCATTGTGTTTTTCCTGCATGGCAGGAGGTTGGACTAGATGGCCCATGTGGTCTCTTCCAACTCTGTTGTTTTGTTGTTGTTGTTGTTAAGACTGGATGGCCATCTGTCTGAGGTGTTTTGGTTGTGCTTTTCCAGCATGGCAGAGGATTGGACTAGATGGCCCAGGTGGTCTCATCCAACTCTATTATTATTATTATTATTATTATTATTATTATTATTATTATTAATATTAATGACTGGACTTAATGTTAGGGGAAAACCTTTACCTTTATTATTATTATTAATTTGTGTATATATGTGTGTTTGTTTACATTCTGTGTATGCGTTCTGTGTGTGTATATATGCATGTATGTGTGTGTGTATATAATTGTGTATACGTGTAGCTCTGCTGCACCAGCTCCACTGGCTGCTGATCTGCTACCGGGCTCAATTCAAAGTGCTGGCGTTGGCCTTTAAAGCCCTAAACGGTTCGGGCCCACGCTACCTATCCGAACGTATCTCTGCCTATGAACCCACCAGGACTCTAAGATCTTCTGGGGAGGCCCTGCTCTCGATCCCGCCTGCATCACAAGCACGGCTGGCGGGGACAAGGGACAGGGCCTTCTCTGTGGTGGCCCGTCAGCTGTGGAACGCCCTTCCCATGGACATAAGATCAGCTCCGACGTTAATGGTGTTTCGAAAAAAGCTAAAAACCTGGCTGTTTGAACAGGCATTCAGATAAACGGTGCAATGAATACGATGAATATAGGAACGGAATTATAGACGACGAATTGGATCACGATTCTAGTTACGAGACGTTGTTGTGCTGTTATTGATGTGCTATGTTGTTTTTGCTATGTTGTGAACCGCGTTGAGTCGCCTACGGGCTGAGAAACTGCGGTATACAAGCAAAGTAAATAAACAAATAAATAAATAATAGCTGTGTATAGGGACAAGGAATGGGCCTGAGGCTGTGAGGAATGCTGGGAGTTGGAGTCCAAAGCACCCAAGGAAGCCAGGGAGGGGGGGCCCAAGTTGGCCCAGGCCTGGTACCTCACATAATAATAAGAATAATTTCCCTCATTGGCCTCTCTCTGAAACCAACTTGCCTGGAGAGGTGGGTCTGAGGCCTACCTGGCGGGGATGTTGTGTTGGGTGAGGAAGGCCGGCCTCGCTCTCCTCTCTCTCTCTCTGCCTTCCTTCCGCTGCCGCCGCTGACGTCACTGCCCCGCGCGCCGTCTGGGTGACGTCAGGAGGAGAAGGGGCGGGGCTAGTGACGTCACCGTCCCGCGACGCAGCCAGGCTGGTTCTCCTCAGAGCGGCAGGCCTCTCTTTGGTTTTGGGTTTTCTGAAGGGAGTCCCGGCGGGAAGGGTTTGTTTGCTGGCTTCTTCTTTGTTTGTTTGTTTGTTTGTTTGTTTACACGCCAAAGCGGGTCGAGCGGGGCCTTGGCAACCGAAGCAGGAAAGGAGCCCAGGGAGGGGGCGGGGCCTGGAACGGGGGGCGGGGCTTGGAAAATGACGTCACTGTAACTTAAGGAATGACCGCTCCAAGGGGTGGGCGGGGCCTCCTTCAGTGGGCGGGGCTTGGAAAATGACGTCACTGTAACTTAAGGAATGAAAGCTCCAAGGGGTGGGCGGGGCCTCCTTCAGTGGGCGGGGCTTGGAAAGTGACGTCACCATAACCTAAGGAATGAACGCTCCATGGGGTGGGCGGGGCCTCCTTCAGTGGGCGGGGCTTAGACAATGACGTCAGTGTAACTTAAGGAGTGAGAGAAGCTCCAAGGGGTGGGCGGGGCCTCCTTCAGTGGGCGGGGCTTAGACAATGACGTCAGTGTAACTTAAGGAGTGAGAGAAGCTCCAAGGGGTGGGCGGGGCCTCCTTCAGTGGGCGGGGCTTAGACAATGACGTCAGTGTAACTTAAGGAGTGAGGGAAGCTCCAAGGGGTGGGCGGGGCCTCCTGCTTTGGGCGGGGCTTAGACAATGACGTCAACCTGTCATTGGAGATTATCAGCTCAGTTTTAGATATGTTTGAGGTCATTTCCAACCATTATTATATTTAAGTTATTATTTGATTTTAATTTATTAATTAATATTTATGTTATTTTTATATTTTTCATGTTATTTTATTTATTAGTATTATATTAATTTATTATTTGCATTATGTTATTTATTTTATTATTTTATTTTGATGATTATTATGTATCATTCTATTTATTATATTATTATGTGATTATTATTTTTTATCATTTACTTCATTAGTGTTACTTTAGTTGATATTATTGACGTGAGCATTTTAACTATGTGATTATTATTTTATATTATTATTTACTTCATTAGTTTAATTGATATCATTTATGTTGTTAGCATTTTAACTATTTATGTCATTATTATTATTGATTTCATTAGTGTTACTTTAGTTGATATTATTTATGTTGTTAGCATTTTAACTATTTATGTCATTATTTTTATATTATTATTATTATTTACTTTATTAGTGTTACTTTAGTTGATATCATTTATGTTAGCATTTTAACTATGTGATTATTATTTTATATTATTATTTACTTCATTAGTGTTACTTTAGTTATTATTTATGTTAGCATTTAAACTATTTATGTCATTATTTATTATGATTTATTTCATTAGTGTTACTTCAGTTGATATTATTTATGTTAGCATTTTAACTATTTATATCATTATTTTTATATTATTATTATTATTATTATTTACTTTATTAGTGTTACTTTAGTTGATATTATTTATGTTGTTAGTATTTTAACTATTAATGTGATTATTATTTTATATCATTATTATTACTTCATTAGTGTTAGTTTAGTTATTATATGTTGTTAGTATTTTAACTATTAATGTGATTATTATTTTAGATTATTATTTACTTCACTAGTGTTACTTTAGTTGATATTATTTATGATGTTTACATTTTAACTATGTGATTATTACTTTACTTTTATTATTCTTATTATTATTTACTTCATTAGTGTTACTTTAGTTGATATTATTTATGTTGTTAGTATTTTAATTATTATTATTATTATTATTATTAATAATAGTTATTTTATCTCTTCTTCTTCCTCCACAGCCGCTCGCGATGTCAGGGCCCCTGCGGTGTCTCCGGCTGTTGCCGCTCCTGCTCCGCGGCAGAAGCGTTTTGGGGCCCCCCGGGCTCCCCCCATTTGGCCCCTGCCTGCACTGCGCTCCCAAAGGCCTTCCGCCGCTGCAAGCCAGGCACCTTGCTACCAAGAAGGCAAAAGGTAGGAAGCAGAGCCTGTACATCAAGGCATGGGCCAACTTGGGCCCTCCCTCCAGGTGTTTTGGAGGGCCCAAGTTGGGCTAGGCCTTCTCTAGATGGATATATAGAGATATAAACATATAGATCTCTGGTTGTACTGGTCCATTTAGTTTTCTTGGCAAGGATACTGGAGTGGTTTGCCATTGCCTTCCCC